CAGCAGGGGAGGGCGCAAGGCCGTCGCCAGCGGCGGCGCCGGGGCCCTTCATCCGCTGCAGCAGCCGCTGCTTGCGCTGCGCGACGGCGTCGGCAGCGGCGGCGGATGAGAGCGACGGGCCCTCCGGCTGGGCCGCAGCAGCTGGTGGCGCTTCCGCTTCACTGACTGCATCGGCGATTGGCTGGGGAAGGCGCGGGCGAACCGCACGTGTGGGCCGGGGCTCCGCTGGCGCCTGCTGCTGCTGCTGTTGCTGCTGCTGCTGCTGCTGCTTCTGCTGGCCGGCAGGCTGCGCTCGTGGCGCCCGCGGCTGTTGCCTTGGGCCCTTACGCCACTGCTGCTGGCCGCGGGCAGGGCCGGAGCCCTTGCCGCGGCCTCGCTGCCCCTCCTCCCCTTGAACATGCTGCTTGTAATCCGCCGCCTCGCGCCGCGCAGACCGCACCCAGGAGAACTCCTCCTGCCGTGCCTCCTCTGTTGGGTTTCACAAATCCGCGTGCATCAACTCAGCATGGATGCGCGGCTATCGACTGGCAGCAGGCCCGTCTCGACCCAACATTGCACGGCGCAACGGCATGCACGCACACACACATCGGCACCACGGCGTGACCAGCAGCGGCGGCTGCACGGCCCGCACCTGCAGGGGTCGAGTACGCGCCAAAACGACTGCTTGATCAACGTGCAAATTCATATGGGTCTCCCGAATCCGCCGCGCTCACCGAGCTCGAGAAGCTTGGGGTTCGTGGGGGCGTCGTCCACGGGCTCATAGTCGAAGTAGATACCTTCGCCCTTCTGTTCTTCCCGCGCATGGCTTGCCACAAGCCGCTGCTGCTGCGGCGTAGGGCGAGCCCAGGGGGCTCGCGGAGCAGCAGAAATGCCCTTGCTTGACAGCATCATTGCGTTAGGCACGGCGGCATACAATATATCAGGTGTTTCGTTGGGTCTCCATCATTGTATGTGTGCGATACCATACGGTGTGAGCGAAGGTGTCGATGGGCCGTCACTCGCCACCCGCTACGCGTGCTGCTCTCTGCTTTTGCGCAATGGGTGGCGAACCTTCAGGGAGTGCAGGAGGAGGTGAGCAGCCTCAGCGAAGACTGTTGTTGCCAGCCATTGATATAACCCCGACCTGTGGCGACCACGTCGCCAAGATGCCGCTTGCTGTACAGCAAGGTGGGTGCCACCCGCTGGTGTCACAGCTTACCTGCAGGACAGCGCCACAGCCAGGCCGCTGTCGAAAGGCGGGCCGATGCGGCGTCGCTGACACTTAACATATCATGCAGCGCGTTGGATGCTCTGCGCATCTGTTAGCCCCCGTGTGTGCGCCTTGCGCGCTCACGCCACCTCGACGCACAGCTGTTTGAAGCACAACAAACCCCGCCCTGCCGATGATCAGGACGCGCCAGCGCATGTATGAGCGCACACACATGATCACCACTGTTTGCAAGCTCAGCGCCCACCAGCCCATTCCTGCCTGCCGGCCGTCCAGCCATGACAATTTTGCGGCGCCTTCAATTCTGGCCCCCCATTGCGCACCCTGAACGCAAGTCGTTCGCCACATTCAAGCATATGCGTCGCAATGTTGCGAGTTGGATGCCGTTAGATGTGTGATGGAGGCCTGCGTCCCGCGTGCCCTGTGGTACGGTGACGGCCGGGTGACGGTCGGGGTGTGAGCGGGCGCAAGCGGGCACGGCACAGCCACCCCGCTTTGCGCAGCTTAGTCAAAACGATCACAATGATTCTTGAATACAATTAATCGTTTGATCTACAAGTGCATCGTGGCACTGACGATGCACAACCGCCATGACCGAGCGAAATCGCGCGGGCCCCTGCTGGTCTCTCATGGCGGATCGGCGACGTTCGATACCAACGACCTCGACCAGCACCACTCCGTGTCTCCGTCCAGCGAAGATGACACGCCCCGGTCAAAAGGCGGCGGTTCGAAGCTGCTGCTGCCGGCGCGCTACGCCAATGGGGCGCTGCTGGGGGCGGCCTGCCTGGTGGCGCTTGCTTGCTTTGTTCTGATTACGAAGCACAGTCAGTATGAACGGGCGCAGCGTCACTTGGAGTCCATCTACCAGGTGCGGCGGGGCACGGGAGCGCTGCTCTACTGAACCCCGTGTGCATGGTACTCCACCAACAGCAGCATGGAGGCCGCCCTCCTACATGGCTATGCACAACGGCATGATGGCGCGACGGCGTGACGACGCGTGCAGGCCAAGCTCAAGGCAGAGTACTCCGCCATAGAGTCGCTGAACGAGGAGCAGCGCATGCTCAAGGTGTGAGCTGTGGCACCCATCATAGCATGGTTTGCCATCCCACAAGCATCCACACGAGTTCGGCTTCGGCTTGCGCAGCTGCCTGCTTTGAACCTATACGCACGCAGCCATTGCTCGCTGCGTGTCCATGGCCCGCCTGGTTCGCGATGCTGAGCAGCCGCCGAGCTTGGCAGCCAGGACCTGACCTGGCAGCACCATCGCCTTGAAGACAGCCACAATGGAGCCGAAAAAGAAAACAGCATCCGTGTCGCACATCGTTCAAGCCAACAAAAAAGTGCTGCTGCCGCGCAGGACCACCTGTCAGAGGTTGCCACCATGGCAGACAGTGCCAAGCAGGCCAACGAGGAGTGCCAGCGCACAGCCAGCTCTATGACCACCTCCCTGGCCGCAAAGGAGGAGGGGGCCCGCGCGCTCGCGCTCCGAGCGGACGCAGCGGAGGCGGCGCGCGCACAGGCCGAGGCGGACGCGGCGGCGGCGAGGGCGAGGCTGGAATCTGAGGTTGCAGACCTGAGGGCGAGGGCGGCGGCCGCCGAGGCGAGGGCGGCCGAGGCGCACGGCAGGCTCGAGTCCGAGAGGCAGCGGCGGCAGGGGCTGGAGGCAGGGGCCAGGCAGAGCAACCTGCTGCGGCACTTGCCCAGGGCCGAGGGCGCCAGCGACCGCGGCGCGGCGCAGCATGGGGAGCTGGCGCCACTTCTGAAGCAGGTGGGCAGGTGCACATGCAACAGCTTGCGCGCTTCGGAGCTGGTGTTGCAGTCTCGGTGGATGGGTGGGTGGATGGCCGGGTGCATGGCGACAGGCACATGGTACAGACGTACCAGGCGATGCACGTGATCGCAGTACTCACTGTTTGCCAGTCCAAGCGCATGCATGCATGCAATAGCTCTCGAGCCGGCCCTGCATAGCCTTGAGTGCAGCTCATCGCCGCTTCGTCCGCAGCTGGCACGCAATGGGGACGTGCTGGTGGCAGTGTGCGACAGGGACATGACGCACCCATCAGACTACCTCACCACCTGGGTCCGCCAGGTGTGCAAAAATTCGGGCATAGGTGTCGCAGGGAGTACGCCAAAGTGGCATGTGATCGAGTGACATGGTGTGTGCTGCTGCTGCTGTTCACATAGGGGCTATCTGCCTGGTCCGCAATGCCAGAACATCGCTGATGACTGCTCCGCTCCCATACGCATCTCACCTGCGTCCCTCTTTTTATCGTCTCTTTTGCTGATAGGTGCAGCACCTCGGCCTGTCCAACGCGCTGGTGCTGTCCAGTGACAGCACTGTGGTGGGCAAGGTCAAGGCGCTGGGCATGGACGCGCTGCTCATCAACCCCAAGGTCAGGGCGCAACTGGATACGTAGGGTCGCGCTGGCCGCGGGTGGGCGCATGGTATGACAAAAGGGTGCAGCCATGGCGTGGGCAGATGCACGTGAGCCACTCTGCATGATTGCTGTCTCGAAGCCGCGGCAGCGATGCCAAGGTTACAGGCAGCGGGCTCGCCTGGGCCCGTAGCATGCCGCTCCAGGAAGCGCGCCCTTGGGCACAGGCGAATCTTTTTTCCCCGCCACGCGGCTGTGCCCCAAACCCCTTCCGCAGGTGGTCCCCGAGGCCCCGCCAGCAACGCGCCACGCGGCGCTCAAGTGGGCGGCCCTGGGTCTGGTGCTGGACCTGGGCTACTCTGTGCTGTACAGTGATCTGGACGTGGCGTTTGTGAGGGACCCCTTCCCGCTGCTGAAGAGGGACTCGGACCTGGAGGCCATGAGCGGCGCTGCCGACAGGGAGACCGCCTACGGTGAGCCGCGCTGCGCTGCCGCCGCGGTGTCACGCTGCACGCACTGCAACTAGACAGCACGTGGTGGCGCCAGGTGGGCAGCGGCTAGCATCACCATGAGCCAGGGACAGGGGGGGGCGGCACCTCACCGCCACGAGCGCCCATGCGCAACCCCGCTATTGCAGGTCTCGACCAGCCCGCGCCCGGCGAGGCAACCGCCTTGGCGCCCCGGCGCCTTGTCATCGCCGGGCTGTCCCCCAGCCTGCTGTACCTCCGCCCCACCCAGGCCGCTGCCGACCTGGCTGCGTCCATGGTGCGCGGCCTCCAGGCGGGCGCCGACCCGGAGGGCAGCCTCCTAGACCGCGCAACGCTTGCGCCGGCACACGGCGATTACGTGCGCTCTGTCCGGCTGCGCGTGCTGCCTGTGGAGCGATTCATGGCGGCGGCGGCGCTGTTCGGGGCCAGGCAGGGGCCGAGTGAGGTCCTGGGGGCCGGGGAGGCGGCGGTGGTGCACTTTGGGCGCGGGCAGGGGGAGCGGCTGCGGGGCATGCGTGCCGTCATAGACTACGCGCACGGCCGCACGGAGGGCCTCGAGGCGATGGCGTCGCCAGCCCGGGGGGCCAAGCGGCAGCAGCAGGACTGATGGGGCCCGACGCAAGAGCTGTGGGCGTGTGTTGATCCGTTGTGTGGTATGGGTGCCGTGGTGCCTTGCAATTTGCGTCGGGGCACACGAGCCGGCGCTAGTGCCTGAAGACCCATCGTAGCCACCTGCAGGTCTTGCTGCAAGCCAGAAACCGGGTTGTGCTCAATGAGCCTGGCTTGCATGTATGTGGCGAATGCAGTTATGTCTGTTTATTATGTTTGCCTGCTGTGCGCACAGCAGGCCGTGACGTTTTGAGAGGCATCCATGATGCAGGCCTTGTCTATGGGCCTCGCTGGGCGTGCAGACGCTTGTATAGCGCATAGCCTGGATGTGCTTGTGATGTTTACCCACTGACCTGGGCTGTGTGATGACGCACGAGTGAAGCCCATAAGTTGTGACTGTGACTGTGCTGGCGTGCATGCAGGTGCGAGCGCACCCCGGGTGCGCTGCAGAGGTGCGGACTATGAAAAGGTTGAGACGGTCGGTGGCTCGCCGCGTCCCATGCAGCCTGAGGTTTCTGGCATGCCTGGCCACGTCAGCTTGGCAGGGGCTTGACGGTCCAGTCCTGTATGGCGAATAGTAGCTACCTACGTTGAGCTCACTCTCACGATGCAAGGGCTCTAGGCACGCGATAGAAGCAGCCGAGTGGCCCCTCAGCTGGTGGCTGATTCTGGCGCAGCTTCTGGCATAATTGGCCGCCTGCGCGTCAAGCGCGACGACTCATCACTTCGACGAGCAGCTTCGCGCCGACAGTGCACCACTGCGCGTTTGTCCACAAGCAGCCTCCCAGCGACAAAAGTGTGAAAGCATGATTTCATTCGAAAAGTTTCATTGGTACGCCCCAGCGGTCACCTTGGGCCGGACCCGCGAACGCAGTGCAGCATGGGAGGAGTGGCACAGGAAGAGGTTCGTGTCGGATCAAACACATGCTTCGACATGAGTGTTTTCTTATTCGATCGGGATGAGGGAGTCCTGATCACGCGCCAAACGCATTTCTCAACGCAGCTGGCGATTTGCATCTCCGGCCTGACCCAGGCCTCATGGGGTAGATTGGAAAAACTTGACAAGGCAGCCCTGCGTAGCCATGCGCGGCGGCTGGCCGATCACTGCAAGAAAGGTATGCTCACGGCAGACTGCGACAGTGCTGAGCCTGGCGTTGCTTGGTGCATCGCAAAGGCCCCGACACCCTGGACGACTCTGGCCGGCCCATGTGTGCTCCAAGCATAGCTGTCTGTCCATGCACGCCGCAGACGAGGCGATTGAGGCGGCCGTGCAGCTGGGAGCCATTCCTGCTGTGGTGCCGTTGCTGACCCTCGGTGATTTGGCGGCCAGCCCCTCGCCTGAGTGAGCGAGGATCGATCGTTTTCTCAGGCCACCGCAGGCTCCGCTTCCGCTTGGCGACGCATTGACCAGCCAAGCTCCAGCCATGCTTGTGGCTGTGTCATGGTCTGCCCCATTTGCACCTTTGCCTGCAGCAGCATGCTGGGTCCACCGGTTGACCGGGTTGACCGTCTCGCATGGTGGCCCCAGCAGCATGCTGGGTCCACCGGTTGACCGGGTTGACCGGGTTGACCGTCTCGCATGGTGGCCCCACGCACTGCTGGGCGGTCCACAAGTCGCCTCAAATCATGGCTGCAAAGCGCAGATGACATCCCAAGCGCATGCCGAATCTCCCTCAACCTGCCCCTGCAATGCACCTGATGTGCCGGCACAAAGTCCTAAACACGCCCGCCCTCCTTCCATGCACATAAACAGCCTCAACTCAAAACCCTGTTTACCCATTGCTCAAAGGTTTGAAGACATCAAGAAGGAAGCATGCGTGATCCTTGGCCTGCTGGGCGCCACCGCCACGTTTCAGGTGACAAAACAGCGTCCCTGGCACCCAGGTTGCCCCATCTCATATCCATTAGCAGCAGAGTCGCCAGCCAGCGAGCTATGGAAACCGGTGCCAGGTGGCAGGACGCTGCATGGGGCATGTGATGCTGCATGGGGCAATCGATGAGGGGATATGATCTCATGATCAGGTGTGGACGCGTCATCCCCAATCAGGATGCTGTCGCGGACGCGGGTGGCCTGGAGGGCATCATCGACATCGTGCGGCGGCACCAGCCGCCGCCAGGCGCACAGAATGTGCCTGGCGGCAGCGGCGGCATTGTGCGGCGAGCGGCGGACGCCGTCACAAACCTGGCGCATGAGAACCCGGCGATGAAGGCGCGCAAACGCAGCTTTCGTGCACGCTCCGGGTGGAGCTTGGTGGTTGCGGTTTTGGGGGGGGGCCTCGCCCACGGGCAAGGGGGGCTTTTGCTTAGGGCAGCCCTGCGGCGTCATTGGGGAGAACTTTTGCGGCGCTGCAGCACCCATCGCCGCCTCTGAACGCTGGATCGTCCCTGCAGCACCACCTGCTCATGCGCGCGTGGAGCCGCGCCAATCACGCCCCGACCCCTCTACCCCCCGCCGCACAGCACACACACACACACACACACACACACACACACACACACACACACACATTTTTACAAACACGCACCTAGATTGACCCGGACACTTGCAACAACACCCAGGGCCGCGTGCGCGACGCGGGCGGGATCCCCCCGCTGGTGGCCCTCCTGGCCGCGTGGGACATCAAGGTACAGCGCGCGGCGGCGGCGGCGCTGCGCACGCTGGCCTTCAAGAACGAGGACAATAAGAGGCAGATCGCGGCCGCGGGGGCGCTGCCGCTGCTCGTGCAGGTGTGGGGCTGGCAGGCGTGCTTCGAGAATGTGTGTTTAAGTGTGTGTGTGTCAGCGCGTCTATGTGCGTGTATGTGTGTGTTGATGTGTGTTGTGTGTTCTGGGGTGGGGAGGGGTATGGAATGAGGCTGGGAGGCGTGATTTGTGGCTAGGAGCAGCCGTGGGCATGGGCCATACGAGCGGGCGGCTGATGGCGCATAGGGTTGCACGGGGACGCGATGGGGTGCATGACCTGGGTGCTGCTGGGTGAGGAGTTGCTACCTCTACCAACCATGGTGGCCAAGACGGCTGGTCGTGCGATTCGGACACGGCCCTGGGCAGCTGCCCATTACACCTTTCCCGTGCCATCTGGCCCCTCTGCCTCGTGTGCGCCCCAGATGCTGCAGTCTGAGGAGCCGTCGGTCCATTATGAGGCGGTCGGCGTCATCGGAAACCTCGTCCACTCCAGCCAGGTGCGCGGCCCTTGGCCCCCTAGCCATGGGGCATGCGCCATGGCCGCAGCTGTAGAGTGCGGAGCGGGCCACAATGCACGGCCACCCGCACCAGCCCCTGCATAGCTGCGGCGTCTGGCCCGCTGCACAGCATCATCACACGCAGATGCACACACGCCCTCCCACCACACCCACACCCCTATTTCGGACGTGATGAGCAGAAGCTCGCGTAACATCCACCCTCTCCATGCCATACCTGAACATGCCCACCCCTCCTACTCCTCTTGGCCCCCCCACACACTCCCACCCTGACACCCATCACGCCGCTCCCACCACTCCTGCCCCTCCCACGCCTTCCCCCAACCCACAGGACCTGAAGCGCCGCGTGCTGGAGGAGGGCGCGCTGCAGCCGGTGATAGACCTGCTCTCCAGCCCCTGCCCCGACAGCCGGCGCGAGGCGGCGCTGCTGCTGGGGCAGTTCACGTCGTCGGAGGGCGGTGAGAGG